AAGGCAGTATCGAAAAAGAGAGAATAAGATCATTCTAGAACCAAGAGTTGTTTGTTATTGTTATTGCTTCGTACCCACAGTTTTTTTTCCTCGCTGTTAGCAATGGTAGATGGCACAGTAGTAGTTTATAGTTAACATTTTGGCGCCACGGAAACAATCGCGTCGGAAGTGCCTGACGGTGACTAAGGCGATGACTGTGACTGCTGTTGTGGTGGTATTGCATTTGCAAGCAGCAGCAGAGGGAGGTGGTTGTAGTTCGCAACGGGATTCGATAGTGCAAGTCAGGTTCCGGGCGGAATAGGGAGGGGGGAGGGGGAGGGGAAGGGAGGAGGAGGGGGTTTTGAGGTCATAACCCAAAGATGTTTTCCCTTCGACGCAGCAGGAGAGTATTGCTTGTTTTTTTTTTTTTTTTTTTTTTTTTTTTTTTTTTTTTTTTTTCGGTAGAATCTCTCTCTCTCTCTCTTCTCTCTCTCTCTCTCTCTCTCTCTCTCTCTCTCTCTCTCTCTCTCTCTCTGTCTCTCTCTCTCTCTCTCTCTCTCTCTCGTCTCTCTTTATTCTCTGCTCTCTCTCTCTCTCTCTCTCTACTTCATTACTCTTTCGACAACCATTACCTCTCACATTTTTAACGTTTTCTCTCCTCTTCTGTCTCTTTTCTTCCTCCTCACGTAAGTAGGCCCAAAAATCTCGAGTAGTTGCGTGATTGCACTTAATTGTTTCAGAAAGCGAGTCGTTCCAGCCTTCTCTTGTAAATATCTCGAGTTTCACTTCGTATTTTTTCCCTCAAGTGTGTCAACTGAAGGGCGGGGGGAGAGTGGCGTTCGTGAGTCTCGAAGGTCTTTTGAGGAGAGAGAGAGAGAGAGAGAGAGAGAGAGGAGAGAGAGAGAGAGAGAGAGAGAGAGAGAGAGAGAGAGAGAGAGAGAGAGAGAGAGAGAGAGAGAGAGAGAGAGAGGAGAGAGAGAGAGAGAGAGAGAGAGAGAGAGAGAGAGAGAGAGAGAGAGAGAGAGAGAGAGAGAGAAGAGAGAGAGAGAGAGAGAAGACGGGAGAGAGGGGGGGAGGGTAGGTAAAGGGTTTGGGAAGGGAGAAAGAGAGAGTGGAAGAGATGAGAAAAAGGAAATGGGGAGGGGGGGGGGCAGAGAGATAGGGGAAAGGGAAGATGGGGAGAGGGAGAAGGGAGGATAAGAGAGTAAGGGTGCACAGAGAGACAAAGAAAGAGAGATTGGGAGAGATGAGAGACAGGAAAAGGGTGAGAACAAGGAAATAGGGGGCATTGGAGATACAGGAAAAGGGGAAGAGGGGGAGAGGGAGAAGGGAGAATAAGACGTAGGGGTGCACAGGGAGACAAAGGGAGGCAGTACTTCGAGTGCGTGCACCGTGGCGATCAATTATTTGCCAAGGTAATGAGTTCAAAAATGGTGAGTGACGGGTGTACCATTTACTGTATACTTAGACGCTTGTCTGATTGGCTCTTGTATGGCAAAATACGCGGAAAATGCCATGGAACAAAACCTCGCGTGAGTGCGCAGTTTGCGTCCTCTGGCGATTGCCTCTTCGTTCTCCTCTATTTTTTTTTCTCCCTTTCTTTTTTATCTTTTTTTTCTGTTCTTCTCTATCATTGTCTTTCTTCTCCCTTTACCCCCCTTTTCCCCACCTCCTGGCTCTCTCCCCCCTCCTTCTCGCCTCCCCCTCCCTCTCGGCCACTCCATAACTCCAATATCCTTATCACGATAAGAGCTTAGCCACTATTGATATCAGTAAGAAAAAAAGTAACTGCAAACAAGCTGATTAACACTCTCGCTTTCAATCACGTCCCCCAACCTCTCCCCCTTTTCCCTAGCTCTCCCATGTATCCTCCCCACCCCCAGTAACACTCCCTCACACCCCACACACCCAGTAACCCTCCACCATCCCACAACCCATTCCCTCCCCCGTTCTACCGCCGCAGCCGACACCACTTCAACCAGTGTCTGACGGACGGGTTGACGGGCGGTGTGATAGAATAGAGGAGGTGAAGGGGTGTCGTGAGGGGGGGAGGTGAAATGCCGCGGAAATTTATCAGCGTTTGGGGCCCCTCGGCGACGGGCGACGGAGCGGGGCGGAGGCGCCAGGAGGAGGCGGGAGGAGGAGGGGGAGGAGGAGGTGTGGCCGCGATGAAAGATTCATGCGGGGCGTCGCGGCGAGCGTATGCGCTGCGTGGGAGGAGGAAGGAGGGGTAGGGGAGAGGGGGTGGAGGGATAGTGGACAGGGGATAGGGGTTGAGGGAAAAGGGAGATGGATGAATAGGGGTGGAGGGATAAGAAGGATAGATTGATAGGGTAGAGGGAGAATGGAAATAGATAGGTAGGGTAGTGGGAGAATAGAGATAGATGGATAGGGGTGAATTGATAGGAGGCGGGATAAAGAGATAGAGGGTAGAGGAATAGAAGAAGGGGTGGAGCAATTCGGGAGTTGAGGGATAGAGGGACAAGGATGATAGGGGGATGGGATAGGAAGGAGGGAGAGGTAGAAGCAGGGAACAACTCGCCATACACAACAACGTTGGCCTCGGAAGACGTTGTATGGATGTGGGAACAGGAATGTCCATCCCCCCTCCCCCTCCCTCCGGTCCCCATGCGGTTAAGAGGAACACTTGGAAGGATTTGCGGCCGGATATCGTGACACTTGTTGTAGGCGAGTGACACTTAGCGCTTCCCTGCTTTACGTTCCCGGGGCCACTTGAGGTCCTCTTCGTACTTTCACTTCTTTGTCTCTCCGTTTCAGGCATTTTTATTTCTCTGTCTTTCTTTTTGGTGTTTCTCCTCTTCCCCTTCTATTGCCTTCTTCGTCTTTCTCTCTCTCTTCCTTTTCCTCCTCCTCTTTCTTTCCTCCCTCCTTTCCCCCTCCTCCTCCATTCCTCCTCCTTCCTCCTCCTCCTCCTCCTCCTCCTCCTCCTCCTCCCTCCTCCTCCTCCTCACCTCCTCCTCCTCCTCCTCCTCCCTCCTCCTCTCCTCTCCACTTTTCCCTCTCTCCCCTCACTCCTCGCTCCTCCTCCTTTCCCTTTTCCTCTCACCGTCCCCTCCTGCACCGCAATAAACTTCTTGCACGTAACTGTAACCCCAGATTAGATAGTGATATCAAGAATGTTTAATTGTGTTGTTATCAATTGATTTCCACGCGCGCTGTCACTTCCAACCCGTCACGTATGACCTCGCCGTCTATTAAACACGTTTGTATTCGCGATAATCTGTGTTCGGACGTCCATTCCATTCATCCGAACACTTCATCGGCACGGGAAAGTTTAATTTAACGTGATCTCTTTACAGCGACGATTGCATTTTTTACTTTTTTTTTTTTGGCTTTTTGATTCTGATTTTCGTTTATCAATTATGGTAGTTTTATAGTTATGTTTTTAATGCCTTAAAAAAATGATAACCCTGCAATATTGTCATCACCGTTATAGCAACACCGCATCAGTGTCGCTCCGCCCACTCTCGGACGACAAGTAAACAAAAAAACAAACAAAAGCAAGAACGCACTCTAGCTCCCCAACTTTCCCTCCACGTGACTGTGCTTGAGGACCTTCCGTGACTCTCCTCGTATGGGGGGATCGTGCATGGGAAATGAATCACGGAATGGGAGCCCGTGCATGTTGACCTTTTATTCATGAGGGAGGGAGAGAATGGTTTGCCCATAGCTCGAGGCTTAAGGGCTGCGGGCGTCGAGGTGCCGGCGGTGGGGCGGAAGCGGTGGTTTTTTATTTATTATTTTATTTATTTTGTTTTATTTTATTTATTTTATATTTTTTTTTGGGGGGTGGGGGGGTTATTTGGTTATTTCAATGGCAAGTTTATTCCATCACCATTGTAAGGTTTAGGGAAGTGAGGTAAAAGTAACGGAACACTAAATACATTTTTTGGGCGTACTAACAAAAAGATATGGGAAAGGTATAAGTACAGCGAGCAGTGTTTGGGACCCGTGGCGCCTCGCAGTCACGCCCGCTCTGCAATATTAACAAAGGCAAATAGAAATTCGCGGTAATGTCGTATTTATGAGTCTGCGGACGGATGCACGGTCGCTGACAGACGCCGCGTGAATGCAGCTGACAGAGTTTATGTGGCTCCGGACTCGATTTAACGCCGTGGGCCACCCCCCCCCCCCCCCCCACTTCCCCTCCCCCTTAATAACAGCGTCTTGTTTCGTGTCGCCAATGTTGCGAAAAAATGTATATGCGTTTTTTTTTTTTTTTCTTTTCTTTTTTTTTTTCTTTTTTTTTTGTAAGCAATTATAGGATGACTATTTTTCGGATGTTTGTTGTAATCCGGTCATCGTTTTTTTCTGATTGTTATGTTTTGTTCAATATTATTAGTTTTTTTCTTTGTGTGATATCGAGTGTCTCGCGGGATTGTTTGGCCGTCGCTTTAAGTGTTGGATATTATTAAACGCAGTGGATCGTGCCGTTGCTAGTATCGATATATTTTTATTACTTTTTTTTGTTAATGCAGTATGGTTCTCGTTGCATTGAGAAGGTATTGTAGTTCCCTTCGCTGCGTCATGGAAACCACCACGAACTCCCCATCGTCGCTCTCTCTCTCTTCTCTCCCTCTCTCCTCTCTCTCTCTCGCCTCTTCCCTCTTTTCGCCTCTCTCATCCCAATGCCCCTCTCTCCCCCGCCACTCCCTCCTCTCCTCTCGCCGCCCACCCTCATCCTCTCTCCCTACCTCCTCTCATCTCCCACGCCTCGTCGCCTCATCCCTATCCCTCGCCATTGTGTGAAACCAGAAGGTAGCGCGCAAATTAGAGTTCCACTCGTGACAGCGAACACTGACATCTTCCTCGT